AAGAGGTCTCTGAAATCTTGGATGATTTTCTTTCAGAACAGCGATTGGACGAAGCTATTTCTTTCTTGGAGAAGGAAGCTAAGTTCTTCAAAGATATCAAGTTGGCAGAGACTTCATCAGATGAAGTGATGGGTTATAACTCTACGATATCAGAGAAGAGGTCTATGATTGCAGATCAGTTGACGCTGGTTGCACAAAATCCTCGAGTTTCTGCACCTGAACTGCAGAAAACATTAGTTGGGCTTTGCAGAATTGGTGATAATAATCTTGCAACTCAATTATTGCTTAAATATTATCATTCGCGTATTGCATCTAGCACACATGATTTGTTTTTTTCAAAGGCATATCCACATGGACTATATCTTCGAGATGTCTCCAAGTTTTTGTTTTCCATGATGTCCCAAGCAGCTAAGAGTTTCACTCTCTTGCATGGCGAGAATTCTCCTCACAAGTCAGAATTACATCGGTGGGTGATGGAACAAACTGTGACTTTTGCTGTCTATTTCAATAATTATGTCGAATCCATGGTAGAGCCAAGTAGTGGCCTATCGACAGCAGTGGAAGCTGTGCAATCCACAATGTCTTATTGCTCTTTGTTAGAGGCACAGGGAATTGAATTACGATCATTTTTGATAGAGCATATCCGTCCCAGTATACAAAAAGTTTTTCAGATCCATATAGAACACTTTAAGAAAGTGATTGGTATCATTACCTCATCTGATACTTGGGTACTTGGAAGATATCTAGTATCAGGAATTCTATCGCCTGATAGTTATTCCGCTAACAGTGGCCAGCTATCGGAGTATTGCCTGCTTGCAAACAGTGGTCGGAAGTTCATAACACTAAGTCAGGTTTTTCCTATTTCTACCTATGATGCATATATTAGCATATAAGGTATTGGAATAGTTCAAAGTGACTTGAGAAAGATCTAGGGTGCTAGCAGTATAAAAATCTGGTTAATACTTGCCTATATTGCTCCTCTACGTTAATCATTTTTAAGACTAAACTGAAGCCATATCTATTGCTACAACTCATTTTACTTGTTTGCACTACTAGATTGCGTCCCGTCATCACTTGCTTGAGAGGAAAACAGATTTAATTGTTTATCTTAGAGTTGCCTGATTATAAGTTTATTTCCTACTCAAACTGCAGACAGTTTTTAAGTAATTAAGATGTAAAGCAAGAAGCTTATGGCCCTTTGACATATTTTGTAGGCTATACTTGAAGAAGTTTCTCCTCTAATCGAAATGCATATTGAAGGCTCACTTCTGAGAGGGCTTTTGGATCTTTTCACAGTGTACACTGCTATTCTCGAAAGTGCACTGATGAATACGACAGAAACTGAGGAAGTTGATTCAAAAATCAATATTGCAGAGTCAGTGGAACAACAAATTTCCCTTATTGCTAACTTATCAGTAATAGCACAAATATTCTCCAGCATGATTAGGAAGGCTTTCAATGACACCTACCACTTGCAGTTTGAGATTGATGATTATGAGCTCTTCATTCATCGAAACTGTGATCGACTAAGATCTCAATTCTGCAAGCAATTAATTCTTAAATCCTTGCCACTTGAAAGTGATTATAGATGTAATCCTTCTCCAGCATGTTGCACTGATATAGAGCCCTCTTCTTCTTACCAGGTATGCCATTTAGAACAGAAGTATTAACACAGTTATGATAGATGTCTTATTTAAATCTTTTCACTCACAGGAAGGTGGAGCCGCTTGTTGGATAATATAATGATAAAAGAATATTATTTGTCCACTTTTATGGATTAAAACTTCTTTGTTTGGGACATCAAACTACCAGGAACTGTATTTCGCGTTAAGGAAACTCAAAGAGCATGCCGAGGACACTGTTATCAAAATGAATTGGTTAAAGGGTCTATTCGGTGAGCTGATGGAGATGATTTTGGATAAAGAAGATATTTCGAATATCACTGAAGAGAATTTGCCAAACGAAAGGTTTCGCAAGTTTATACAGGTATATGCATTTTCTTTCTCTAGACTAGATTAAGCTTTGATTCCACAACCCTTGCCCTGGCTTTTCTAATTCACAATTGTGGCAGTCAGCCTACAACCAAGAAAAATTTCAGGTGAATAAGTTCCAATTTAGATATAAAATTGACGTTGTACCGATAAAATAATTGTAAATAAGAAAACAAATATAGACGGAATAGGTGAATGTTGGAAATATTGGAGTGAAATCACGGAAAATTCTCTAATTGCTTGAGGCGTGTCATGGATGACACTGTCCTTGATATTTCACCCGATTTAGGTATATCCTAGAATTCAACAAGCTCTTCTAGTATAAAACTAGGAGCAGAAACTAACAAAGATTTATTCTTGGTAGAAAATTCAGCAGAAGGAAGGAGAGTATTTCTGTAACTTGGTTTCACTCACAAAAGGAAAGAATNTATAATGGGTGAGTACTGGTGCAACGGTTACAAATATGGAATAATGACCCATTATTGTGTGAAATAATAAAGATAATAAATGTCCAATAAAATGAATCTAGACACTTTCAGAAAATATGAATCTTGACACTTCCTTTTGAGATATCATATTCAGTGTTTTTCTAATAGTGAATGCAGTGGCCCTATTCTGTTGAAAATAAGAGAATAATTTAGTTTCTGTTTGTGTAGGGATCATCTGATAGATGGATTTATCTGCTTTCGTGCTTCGCCTTCTTTCACAGTTTTTGAGTGAATACTCATTTTGTATCTTAAACAGCTTAGTCTTGACATCCACTTTCTCCTTGAAATTGCTAAATGGGGAGGATACTTGTCTGATACTGTCATGAATGCCTATTCGGATTATGAATCTTGTACAAAATCTGCATTCCTCTCTGCTGGGATGGATCCTGAAAGGTAACTTTTCTTTCATGATGGCGATCAAAAATATCTCATCTCCTATGGACGGAATATGTTGTTGAGTTAATTAGCTTCTAGACACAGGCAACGCACAAATTTTTTCACACGAACATGTCAATTAAAAGACGAGAGTACAAGTGAACTGTCCATAATAAGTGAAATTAGTAGCATGGAAAAAAAAGAGAGGCATTAGCCTGGTGTAATAGGTTAAATTTACACTAATTAGTGTAAACAAGCAGAAAAGGATAGACTTCCTTCCAAAATATTCAGTTTTCCAGCATATTGTCTTGTTATTTTGCAGGCGCATGAGCTATACTGGATGGGCAACAAGGACTGCTACTGAAACACTACAGAAGCTGCATGAACTTGATAAAAGGGAAATTCTTAGCAATGAGATTATTGATGCTACTGAAGAAGAAACAAATGAATCTAATTCACACAACTCTACTGAATCATTTGGGAGCGATGATGCTACTAACTCGGTAGAGGTATTAAGACGCCTGGATGCACCAGAGGTTACATCTTGTACCAGAGGTTCATTAACTGATATGGAAAAGGTTCCATGTCATGCACAAGAAGAGCAACCTACAGTATAATCTGGTGATAGTGGTCCATTTGCAAAGAGATTTATAGATACACTCGCATACGGAAAAGGTTCCATAGCTCCGCGCACAAGAGAATCAAAGTACATTATCTCCCGTAGGTGTATTTGTTGTTATTTTCTTTTAATTATGGACGTATATGATGTAAACAAATTGATTCTACTTAAAATTACATTGAATAGTTATACTGCGTGACATTTGCTATAATGCTATGGTCGTACTTAGCGGTGGCAAAATGGATAAAAGAAAACAGTTATCCACCCATATTGTCCATTAAAAAATGAGTTAGATAATGAACTTTTAAAAAACGGGTTGAATATGGATAAGAACCATATTATCCATTTAGAAAATAGATAATCAATGGATAACTAACGTGTTTAACTTTTACATTTGTAAAACGTCAAATTGGGGGTTCCTCAAGTTTGGGATACTATGAATTCTCCCAAAAATGATCATATGTAATAAGTCATGGATAATGTGGATATTCATATTATCCGTCGGTTAATCTATTTTTATTCGTATTAAATATGAGTGGGGTCGGATAATTTATCTATTTTTGCATTACCCATTTTGACCCGTCCCATATTCGGCCCGACATGTCTTTTTGCCACCCCTAGTCGTACTTGACAACCAAAGATAAAACAACACATGCAAGATTTGTTGGTTCGGAAAGACTTGTGTATTTAACAAGACATGTAGAATGAAGATAGTGCCAATTATGTCCGTTTGGCAAAACTTGCCAATACTACGCATTCGACAAGACTTATGAACAATTTAACAAGGTAGAATGAAAATAGTACCAATTGTGCCTGTCTGGCAAAACTTGCGAATAATTATACAACACCTGTAAGATTTGCTCATCAGATGACTTGTGAATAATTTGACAAGATAGGTAGAATGTAGATAATATCAAGTTATGTCCGGCCAACAAATTTTTTGAACAACTAAATAACACAGGTTTGCCCCTCCGGCAATACTTCTGAATAATTTAACAAGATATATTGAATGAAGATAATACCAAAGCTATGTCTCGCCTGACATAATTTGTGAACGAAGCAAGATTCTCATATCCATCAAAATATGAGAACAATTTTACAATAAGTGTGGAATGACGATAGTACCAAACCTACGTCCCCGTCGGACATAATTTTGAACAATTGAACAACCATAATTATTCCATGGCGTGTAGCATAAAGGCTATTTTTGCAAATCTTTGTTAAAGGGGATAAAATATAAATAGTGACCTCAAGTGGTAAAAATGACACCAAATAGCCGCTTCGAGTACCCCTATTTTAAACCTGTCCAATTTTTAAAAACTATTTAAAGTTTAGCCTGTTTGGGAAATTTCAAGCACACTTATTTCAAATTTGGATCACTGTGTCCGAAGCTATGCTTTGACGGAACCTTGGTCTTATTGAACCTTGGGTCAACTCAGACTTTAGACCCACAATTTTAACTTCAGAGTGGACATTTTGGAGTTGATTTTGAAATGGCTAAATTTTAAACAATTTTATAAATATCAGCTAAATAGGGGTCTTCGATAGTGGAAGTGCAAAGAAGCGGGAGACAATTCCTGGAAAACAATCAAGCGCCAACTTCCAACGCTGTACCTCTCAAAGAATCTGCAAGTAAAGCGATATTCACCGTTAAATAATCAGCTACCACAAGAAATCATCAGATCCTGACCGTCCAACAACATTGACCCTAACGAGTATATGTAAAGTTTGTACACTGCAAAATTCCCCTTTTGATTTCTCGTTTGTCCTTTCAACTGACAATTTGCTTCTGTTCTGTAATTACGTTATATTATGGCAATTAACATCTGCTCAAGGTTGTAATATCGTGGGGGCATTTGTAACTTAATTTCTTTTATTTTCTTGATTTTTGCTTAGAAAATTTCTAGTGTCTATTGCAGACTAACAGTAGATGCTTGCTAACTAATGGTTTGTGATAATTTTTAGTACTTCTGTCCCATTTTATGTGGTGTAGCTTGACTTGACACGTAGTTTAACAAAGAAAGACTTCTAAAACTTGTGTTCTAAAATAAGCCATAGACATTTGTACCACTATACAACATCTCATTAAAGGTAAAACCGTAAGTTTTAAGTTAAACTAAACTAGATATAATAACTTGTTACTCGTTTTGGAACGAACTAAAAAGGAAAGCGTGCATGTAAAATGGACAGAGGGCGTAAATGATTTGTTAGATTAAACGAAGGATGGAACAAAGTGTTAGTGTTAAACTGTTCTCTCCTATATGTTTTCTTCTTTTTGATTATTTTAAACACATGCGATCCTTTCACTTTCAGATTATAGAGAACATTACAGCAAAGAGGTCAGTAGAGGATGATTCAAATGTGGTGGACGTCGAATGCGCTGCATAGTTGGGCATGAAGATATATTTCATGAAAGGGATGTGAAGAGGCAAAAGAAACTAAGTTCTGGTTCGTCCCAAATGAGCTTAGGAAGTCATGGTCATATTCAACTAAGATGTCCTAGTTCTGAAATTGTTGCTAACTCCAACTGCAATATGGAGTATAAAAATAGTGAGTCTCCTTCTGTTGGTGAGCCAAAATCAATTTCAGATCAACATCCTCTGAAAGGAAGTGTTTGTGGTTTCTGTCATTCGCCTAAGACCACAAAGGTGAGTTTATCTGTGCTGTATATGATAGGAGAAACTTCAAACTATCAGCTGCTATTATTTTGTTGTTTTTAGAAATTTTTAATACCCTCTTCCACTGCTATCATTTGGAAAATATCCACTTATTTTGTGTTCCACATCCTTTGCTCATGTACACACATGTTTATCTGGACATATTCTGCTACATTTAACTAATTCTTATTATTAATCTGTCAAGTCTGTTAAATATTTGCAGGGAACTGGACAGTTCTTGTACTATGCTAATGGAAAGGAAGTGGTGGAAAATGTCACTTCTCCGTCCAAAGTCATATGTGTGCACAGTAAATGCATTGAATGGTATGTGGATTTAATCAATTAGCTGTATATTCCAATATAATATTGTTTTATGATTGTGCAACTGATAAGGGAAAGCTTTAGGCATGTAGTTAAGTGGCAGCTCTAGACTGTGCTTCATCTTTATGCTTGAGTTGTTTAGCTGTAGTAGATGGTTATGAACAATTGGAGCTGAAGAAAAAAGGGAACTTTTGGAATTTTAGCAACCTTTGATTTTAGCAATTGAATATTATAATCTGCTTTGCTTATGAAAGGTTTGTTTTTAGTGACTGTAGTCAAATTGAAATAATCCAGATAGGGCTTGAAAATGAAGGGGGCCAACCAGGCAATGTCTGTAGGCTGTTTCCACTACAATACTTGTACATCCACTACTAAAGCATAATCTCGATTCTTATATTACATCATATTCTTGTTGACCCTTTAGCATTCTGCAGTACTTCGTAAAACTGCACAATTGTTTAATAGTCGATACCACTTAGGTTTTGATTGGGTACCTTTTCGGTACTTAATTTCATTGGTTACAGGACACCTCGAGTATTTTATGATGGAGATACTATAAAGAATTTGAAAATTGAACTGGCAAGAGCTGCAAAACTCAGATGTAGTAGTTGTGGCATGAAAGGTGCAGCACTTGGCTGCTACGTAAAATCTTGCCGGAGGAGTTATCACGTTCCCTGTGCATTTGAAATCCAGGATTGTCGATGGGATATGGTAAGTAAATACAGCTAGTTAATAAATTGATCAGATTGAGCACTATAAAGTTTTTGTCTTCATGTTTTCCATAAAAGTTCACATCTATTTTAATTACAGGACAACTATCTCATGTTGTGCCCAATTCATAAATCTACTAAATTTCCAACTGAGAAGTCAAATTCCAGGAAGCACGTTAGGAGGGAAGTGCATCAAGCGACTTCAGATATTCCTCCTCTGTAAGAAGAGTGTATATAGTGGCACTTCTGTGCTGTTTCTTTACCTCTTAAATTATAGGCGGTTGATGAGAATGAGAAAAACATCATTATAGGAACCTAAATATCTGCGTGTTATCAATTGAATCCAGTCACTCCTCTCAAGCTCCTTGGTTTAAGGCTGATAAGTTAGAAATTGGTGATACCTTCCTAATACCGTCAATATTTTATGCTGATTCTCTAGATATGTGTCATGTAGACTACTATTTTTCCTACATAAATGGTTGTCTTGATATAGAGAAGTGGATGATGATTGAATGACAAAAGTGTTGGTGTCACTTGTCATAAACATGTTGTGGATCTACCTTTGTTGATAGTTGGAAAGTTGGCGCGGTAAAGAACTGCTTGAATTGCTGGTATAATTAGGTTTCAGAATGCTTTTGCTAAGCAAGTGTATCTCATTTGATTGTCATGTAAGCTGAGGCCTGTTAGCATTATTATATCTAATAGGAGTATCTTTACATACAGATGTACATAGAAGCTTTGCTTATTATTTTAAGTTATTGGTCCAGTTATATTAGTCATTGGAATTTACTTGGTAGTCTAATAGGGTTGATCCATTAATGTAAAATGGGGATACTTCTAGTGAAGTTATATCCTTGTCAAGAAGTTGGCTAGATTATCTGTTGGAATTAATTGGATCGGGATGCTCTGTTACAGGAAGGTAGCCACATTTCTTAATTGAAAAACGCCATATTGATTCATGAAATACATAACAAACATGCTGTTTATATTGTCTTACATTTTGATTTTAATTCTTTTAAATAAATCAAAGAGCAATTTAGATATGTATATTCATTAGAATGTGCTGGATAGTAGTCCTCATCTGTAAGCAATTCCATAACTATTTTTTTTCCCTTTTGACCATTGTGAATGTAGAACCGCTGAGCAATTGAGTTTTTGGGCAAGATCATCAGGTGGACCCAAAGAATGGGTTCTTTGTGGGTCTGCTCTATCCTCGGAAGAGAAGGTTGGTTTATCCTTTCTGCATTGACAATATGCTTTGCTAGTTCTTTAATATGTCCCATGTATCTGTTTTAAGACTGTTTGATCAGTCTCACAACAATGAATGTTGTGACGAGTGAGATGGTCCTTTTTATGGGCAAGCTTTGCCTCTGGCATATTTCGAGGCAGAAGCTGTTTGTTTATTTCAGCTCTCTCCGGTACACTAGAGGAGTCAACTTATTATGGTTATGCATAGACGGTTTAGCTTGGTGTCTGTCAACATTAAGTTAAATTGTCTCAGTCCTGGTTGATGCATGTCCTGGAAAAAGCAGTGTATGAAAGATCCGCTAATTTTGGTGTCTTTCCTTTTATTTATTTAATTGTACAGTATTTGTACTTTGACCCACGTCTGAGGCCAACCATTAGGTCCAACTGCAGCCTTCGAAACTTGGGATAATGGCCCTTCTCCACTTAAATACGAGGCTTAGTTCGCACAACGCAGGGCACGACTATGACTTAAGTCACAAGTCCCTCAACCTTTGCCACTTGAACTGAGCCCTGGAGGCATTTGCACATTGTCCCACTTAAATGTCCTTTTATTTTGAGAGAAACCTTTGAAGTAGAAAAAATGGTAGCTTCTTTCTATTTGAGATTTGTTATTTGAAATATTCTAACATTATTAATTCATCTTAGTGTATTTTTGATATTTTTGCAGTATGTGTTGGTGACATTTGCTAATATGTGTGGTGCGACTGTGTGCAAGTTTTGGAAACCAAATGTCACACATGTTGTTGCAGCAACAGATGAAAAGGGTGCATGCACTAGAACATTTAAAGTTCTCATGGCAATTTTGAGTGGAAAATGGATCCTAACGATGGACTGTAAGCGCTTTTCCTTTTATCTAAAAGTACTTTGAAATAGAACGTTCATTTAGTTCTCCATGTAATGAGGGGCATGTTGAATTGCCATAGAAGCAAGAAATGCAATAAGTAGAATGCGTGGTGACATAAGAATAAAGTTTCTTTGGTGTTGAGCGGAGTGAAATATGAGAGAAACACCTGGGTACATGTGCAACTTCTCCAAAGCCACTTGAGGGCATGGGCTTCTTCTGGAAATAGTTTGCTTGGCCTTGGTCAATAGTTATCTAGTTGCCTTATGGAAAAGTATGATTATTTTATTTAAATTCCATTCTCCTATCAATGAACTTGTTTGTTTGCAGGGGTAAAAGCTTGTATTGCAGCAAATGGTCCAATAAAGGAGGAACTTTATGAAATAAGTTTAGACAATCACGGCTGTTCTGGGGGCCCCAAAGCTGGAAGGCTCAGGGTCTCAACTAATGTAAGTGTCCGGTAATTGCAAGATATTGAGAAGCTAGTTTATTATATTCCTTGTGAATACGATTCAAGGCTAAAGATCTTTTCTTTTTCTGGTTCCAAACTGATGTAGCTCATGTTAAAAGCTTTTATGTATACAGTAAACCTTTCTTCCTTTATACTGCAGGCTCCAAAGCTTTTTGATGGTTTCAAGTTTTATTTGAGTGGGGATTTTGTGCCAACTTACAAAGTTGACCTGTTAAATCTAGTTGAGAAGGCTGGAGGCGCTAGCATTCAGAGCAAGGAACAGTTGGTGGAACAGACTCATGCTGCACAGGAAACTCACCCACCTTATCTAGTTGTATACAACTGTGATCCCCCACAGGGTTGCATGTTTGAAGAAGAAAGCGTTATTTTGAAGCAAAGATTAGCTGAAGCTGAGGATCTCGCCAAGCAAATTGGTTGTCAGGTCATTCAGCATACTTGGATTCTGGAGTGTGTTGCTGCATGTAAACTGGTACCTTTTTGCTGATGAGGGATTGTCGCGAGTAAAAAGGGTCCTGCTAGATGACTGTATATCTGTGATAGATAGGGGCAAAGCATCTCTGATGTTTGTATGACGTTATACATATTTCGTACCAGGGCAACCTAGTTGAATCTTAATGCCAGATGTCCTTCCAATATTTTGTGTATAGTATGCGAAAACAAAAATAAACTTTGATCTTATATACTGAACATACTGAAAAGAAATCCATTATGAAATAGAGTTATAACAGGCTTGGCTCTACCTATAGTTTTGGAAATGTGTAAGTTACACAAGTTTGTATTACACATTTCTGTAAAGTATTTAGCTGAAGGAGGTTTGCAAACTGGCTATTTAACCGGTGCCTTCTATTCTCCAATTATGGGCTTGCTAAGTGAGGGTTGCATGGCCTCCTGCAACTCTTTGTTGGTTTTGTTGGTCTCGGTGTTATAAACGAAGAATTTTGCTACAACCAGGAAGAAAAGAAGGTTGAGAAAGCTCAAGACAGCATAAAATGCATAATAATAGTCCAAATGAGAGATATTGAGGTTGTCCAAAATCCACCCATGGTGTCCATTTTTCTTGGTAACATCTGCCACAGTTGACAGCAGAAAGCTGCTGAGGAAGTAGCCAACACCCAAGCTTGTTGTAGCATATGCAGTCCCAAGGCTTTTCATGCTCTCTGGTGCTTGGTCATAGAAAAACTCAAGTTTTGCAACTTCCACAAAGTTATCAGCAACTCCCATTAAGGCAAACTGGGGAAGCAGAAAGAAAATAGACAGAGGAACAATCTGTTTTTGCCCAGTAATTCCATGTTCTCTAGCTACACTGAGCCTCTTCCTTTCAACGAACGAGGCAATGAGCATGACTATGATATGCAAGACAAGGCCAATCCCGAGTCTCTGCAACAATGTGATCCCCCTCGGGTTCTTTGTGTATTTTCGAAGAATAGGTACCATGACGCGGTCATACACGACAAGGGTGATCAACATGGAGATTGTTATGAAGGCAGTAAGAGATGCTGGAGGAATTTCAAAATTCGGACCGATTCCTCTCTTCAAGGTTGTCCCTTGCTTAATGAAGAGGGTATGTGTCTGTGCTAGCATTGTGCTTGGTATGAACATTGCTATAAGTATTGGAAGCATTTTTATCATTTGCTTAGCTTCTTCAACTTGGGTTACTGGACAAAGTTTCCAGGGTGAACTAGGCCCTGTTTTCACTGCTGCCTTGTCAAGATGTCTGCATTCAACATGATCTCAATCACATATAATCCAAGTAAAGAAATTAAAAACCAGCATTAATATGGTCCTAATAATATGGTTAAATCAACTAATCTAAAGTGTAGCTTCTGTACGCCTACATTATAAAAGAATTTTTATACTATCCGGTCACCCTAAACGTAACTTTCCGTGACCTCAAAAATAAAGCACGTTATATGCTACAACAAGTTAAAGTACACTAAAGTGCAGCCGGTACATTAAGCTCCCGCTATGCGCGGGGTCCAAGGAACGACCGGACAACATTACGTCTATTGTACGCAACCTTATCTTGCGTTTCTCCAAGAGGTTGTTTTCGTGGCTTGAACCCTTGACCTCCTGGCCACAAGCGGAAACTTTGACCAAATGTAAATTGTCTGTGTAAATGAATTAAATATCACAAGATTTTCACCTTAAAGAAATGGTGTGATCAATTCTGAAGAGGCCTGCAGAGGTAGCATACTCTTCCAAGCTCAGCTCATGAAGCTCCTTTGGGTCATTAGGGACAACAACCTTCCACTTCCTAGCTGCAGCAACAACAACTTGAGCAATCCTAGTGAATGGACTTCCTGTAGGTTTTTTATGCCTATAGTAACGAGTCCCTAACAAGAAAACCATTACTGAAACAGCAAGTCCAGCAGTTGGAAGGCCATAACCAACACCCCATCCCACATTATCTTGCAAGTAAACAAGGAAACTGTTGGAGAAGAGAGTTCCAAGAAAGATGCTAAACATCCACCAGTTGAAAAAGGAGAGCTTTTGAAATCTCTCTTTAGGCTCAAAATCATCAAACTGGTCTGCACCCATTGTTGAGATATTAGGCTTTGTTCCACCAGTTCCAATAGCAACTATGTATAAAGCACAATAGAAGATGCCAATTTGGAAAGCAGAAGCCCTTTTAGTACAGTCTATATCTTTGATTCCTTTGCCACAACTTGGAGGTCTCAAGGCTTTCAATGAAACAGCCATTGTCAATAAGCACATTCCCTATTTTTATGTGTGCCAAAGAACAATACACAAGGTTAATTAAGCAGGCAAAAGAGTGTATAATGTGAATGAAAAACTAGTAAATGTAATTGAATTTGTCAATTATGTCAAAAAAATAAAAGTATTTCTTGTCCTATTAAGTAACTGAACTTTACCCACTGTAATAGTAAAGTCACTAAACTTTACTTGCTTTAATATATAGTATAATCACAAGATTGTCGCAAGTTTAGTTACTTAGTGTGATATAAAGTAATTTTGTAACTTTATTGTTACAGTTAGTAAAACTTACTAGAGGATTTAGCTTATATATATATATATAAAGAGGAATAAAAAATTACCAGAATGTAAATGGCAGAAGAGATGAGAAAAGTGGAGAAACGACCAAGATGAGCATCAGCAATGTAAGCACCAAGAATGGGAGTCAACCAAACAGTACCAACCCAATTGGTCACATTGTTTGAGGATTTCACTGTGCCTTCATGCAGCTCATCTGTTAGATATATCACTAGATTTGTTGCTATCCCATAAAATGCCATCCTCTCAAATACTTCATATCCTGTACGTACGTGCATAAATATATATTTTAAGCATTTAATTTCATCAACATTTTTCACTTAGTATCATACAATATACATATGGGGCACCTCATAATATATCCTAGTATACTACGTTACACACGTGCATGACATGCAACAATATAAGTTGTTCTATATTGGTCGAGTACACGAATTGTCGTATCTCGATCATATTTTTTTGACAATTCTTACTTCATAAGTTAGTTTTTACGATTGAATTATACCTATAATCCGTTTTTTTAATTGATTTAATCTAGAACCGATGTTGCTTGATCGATCATATATTAATTATTACACTAATTTTAAGAATTACGAGTTTTCTAATAATTCTGACAGATATTTACAATTTTAAGGAGATAGAAAGTGGGGAAAGACACGAATTATTTTGATTGTTGAGACTTTGAGATTATTTCATTTGAGGCTGTTAATCAAGAGATGTTCAGTACCCCACTTAGCTTGTGTTGAAATTAGTGCATAAGAACCATAATGTCTTAGAAATCAAAAACAAAAATCATAACCATGCATAAAGTAGCAAGTGGATAGATAAATTTCTAAGTATTTAACTCTCCCTATATATATACAATTCATCAAAGAATAGTAGATACTAGCACGGAAAATGTACCTAGAAGAAGGGTATATAGACTAGGCCAAGAAATAGAAACATAAAATGTAAAACCATCAGAAAAAAAGATGCCTATAGAGGAACCTATAAGACTACGAGAAGGAGGAAGTAAAGGTAAAATACTAAATATAGCAGCCCATGATCCACAAATGTGGAACTCGGTAATAGAACTCTGGAAAGAAATAGTAGTGACAGACTATATAAAAACCTATCATGAAACAAACGCAGAAACAATGTATAAATATAGGGAGACTTTCTTAGGAGAATCAACAAAAGGATTATTAGTTTTATGTTTATTATTCCTCAATTATTAGTTTGTAAATAACTAGACATCACTCTTAGTATATGGTTATCTTTCCAATTTTTTAACAATTTTGATGGATTAACCTATAAATTCCTAGGAGAAACCGGTTAAGTCAAACCCAAAATTAACCAAGAATGAGTATATATGTTTAACTGTGGCCAGAGTAAGATTAAAGAAAAAAAATTTAAGAATAGATTTATTTCTTTAAAAAGGTTGGGAAGAAGAGATGAACAGAGTGAAGAATTAATTGTAATTCAACATATTATTTAGAAATTTAATAGTAAGGTCTGCCAAAAGCAAGCACGTTTTTGTTTTATTTCTTCATTTCTCTTTAAACTTAAATTATAACTTCTACTCTATATATATATATATATATAACATACCAACAATGAAATAACAAGCTCTCCATCTGCCAGTTTTGGATCTGAGAACAGGCTTCCCTTTGAGGTCCACAGTCCCATCTTGTGTATAATCCTCACAATTAGTAGCTCCTTTCTCTAATTCTTCACTCATTTTGATACACAAATTAACAAGATATCAGATTTTAGTTTGTGCTACATATATATATTTCCAAGTCTACGATATATATATAATTTGTGCCAGCTTTTATATATATATATATATATTGAAGGTTTCTATGCGTATCCTCATAATTCCAAATGTTGCTTTCACTTTGCATCTAAAATATACTAATAGCCTATAACTAAAGCAAAACAGTTTTATATTCCAAGTAATGCTAATTTTGCTTTAATTTGAAAATGTGTGTCTTGTCCACACCCCAACAATATATATANTCAATTTCTTAATAATTTTGATGGATTAACCTATAAATTCCTAGGAGAAACCGGTTAAGTCAAACCCGGAAATAACCAAGAATGGGTATATGTGTTTAACCATGGCCAGGGTGAGGTTAAAGAAAAAAGAATTAAGAATAGATTTATTTCTTTAAAAGGCTAGGAAGAAGAAATGAACAGAGTGAAGAGAGAGAAAAAAAAGAGTATAGAAGGGGTAGGGGTAATTTCAGTTCATAATGTAGATAATACTGTAACAATACAGGTCTATAGAATATGAGAGAGAGAGAGAGTACCGAGTAGGATTTTACAACATAAGTTTTTAATCACAAAAAATATTTTTACCGCAAAAAATCCTTACCTTTTTACCTTATAAATTTTACCGTACCATAAAAACAAAAAGAATTTTTTAATGTCTATTAATTTAAGTACCAATAATAATGCAGAAATATTTGCTAGAAGCCTTACCTCAAGTTTAGAAGAGTTTAAACTAGATGTAGAAATCGGATTTTATTCGATAATATATTTAGTTGTACATTTTATATACCTACAACAAAATAGTAGTATTTGTTCAGATATATATAGAAAACAACTGCATCTGATAATTTTAATATTATCATATCATCAATCATACCATCTAAGAAGAAGATTATAATCTTAATAAAGGCCG